CATGGATAGCGGCCATCAGAGACATTCATGAAGCCGGCTTATCCTTTCCAAGGAGCCAGCAGTAGTAAAGTAAAGTAAAGTAAGTAAGTACAAAAAGACAGCAACCAAAACTGGCGCACGTAAGTGCATGGTTAATGGTTGTAAAAACTGAACTGAACTAAACTGTAGCCGCTCCGTATGACGTAATACTCAGAGCTTTTAGGTAGCGTCTCGCATCTTCTAGGTTGAGGTCCGAAAGAATCCGCAACTGGATGGTTGAAGACATTGTAGGATATGACAGTGACTCGATGGCAGTGGCGTCTTTGTTATCCTTTCTTAACAGGCCAGAATGCTTGAAGCAGTATCTATGCACACTTAGATTGTGTACTCTGTGTTTTGACCATAGAAGTTCACTTTCTTCCCTCCCTCAGAATAGGTCCAATCCCTGTTCACCTTACATATTACCACTTACCTGGTACGCATTAAAAGTTTTGTAGCAAGCAGTGAAGATGGCTTCACTGTATTTCTCTTTACGTTGACGATAATGATGATGATGCGGTATGGATACTATGAATCAGACAACTTATTGCTCTGCTGTATATTGTTATGCCTATCCTCACACGACGATAAAGGCACTTCTAAAACCACATTCATTTGGGCGAGGAAAATAAAGGGGGCTACTGCAAGAGACCCCACTCACGGTGATGAGATCTCGCACAATGAACGTGAAAGAGGAATCAGCTTCTTTCTTACATCATTTAAGGAGAGGTAGAATCAGAGTATGGTGTGGATAACCAGGTTTGAAAACGCTTTTCTGTTCATCAAGACAGAAATCTCGGATCTACGTAAAGCAAAATGTGTTCTGGGATTCCACAGACGACAGTATTTTCCATGCGGCTTCTACCAGATGGAAAGTAGCTTGCTTCTCGCCTGTATGTTGTTAAAACATTTCAATGCATCCATGTTTTCTTTCTGGGGTCATTTGCTATTAAATTCCGCATCCTTCATGTTATTGTATACTTCCACAAAAATATTTCTCACTTATCGAATGCATATATATGTATATATATACATATATATGTATATATATACATATATATATATATATATATATATATATATATATTAGAGACCACATTCTTTCGCTTCAGTTACCAGATATGCAGAAGACCATGCAAGAACTAAGCAAAGAGATGATGAAAATGGGAATTATCGGCGAAATGATCGATGATACGATGGATGTTGCCCTGGGTGACCCGGACGATACTGACGAAGCGGTTTCCGCGGAAATAGACAAAATCCTGGCAGAAATCACGGCCACTGAAATTGCGAAAGTACCAGATGCCGTTGAAGATACTCTGCCTTCCGGTGTCACTTTGGACCGCGAGGATATTGTCGAGGATGAGGGAGAAATAAGTCAAATGCAGGCACGACTGGCTGCGTTGCGGAACTAAATGAATCAAGTATACCTGGCTTACCCGCTCCTCGAGTCTTTCACTATTACGAACGAACCTAAAGCAGCAACGTATCTCATCTTTTCCTAAGCATTACTTTGAGGGGCGACCAAACAATTGTGCCTATCCATTCATTCTTTCCTTGTGCTCCAAACTCATCAAAGTACGTATTTTGATTGTTCTTCACCCCATAAATCATAGTTGACAGGAATCGAAGTACCCATTGCATTACGTATGGCCCAGTTCATCTGTCTACTGCAGCAGTGAAGATACAGAACCGTGCTCAGCATGGTTGTTAGCTCGCAATTCGTCGCATCTCAAATGTGTCTATCATTTTCATGCTTGCCTCTTTCGTTGATAGTGGCGTACTGCATTCGTCACCCAATCATTTGTTTGTTCCAGTGCTGTTTGAAAGAACCGATCTTTCCTGAATTTCGTCAATTTGTTCACGTTATTCGCACCTTTCTTCGCCACACGTCAGTCGGAACCAACTGTCAAATCTAATCGGTGGACCATGCGCGCATATTTTGACAATCATCTTGCAGTTAATGTGCATTCAACTACTCAGGTTGTTGTCTCATTTGTTCTCCCTCTTGTTCTATGTTGTAACCTGTTGCATATTACGACAACAACTATTTTTTTGTGATATACCGTGCCATGTTGTGCGGTGGCTCTTCCAAACTATCCGTATTCCATTGTCTTGAGGGTGGGAAACTAGCCACGGAATGCCAAAGATCCTGTGAAAAGGATATACAGGTCTGAACAAACGTCAGAACTATATAAATTTAATTCTGTATAGTATAGTTCAATTGATTTGTGCAATCCTCAAACCTGACATCGAATTTTTGATAAAGACACTCCAACGAATATAGGATGGTGTGATTTTGTAAAGTACCTTGCAGAATATGTGTTGTGCTTCGCTTTAGCTATCACCGAACCTGGTCCACGATGCGTGTCCCAATGACCCCGGTTGAAAGACAGTTGCAAGCAGTGCAAGTCTTTATTGGTAGTGTCAGCCAAATGTGGATTAAAAAAGGAGAAACGTGGTGTAAACGGGGTTGATCACAGTCCAGTCATAAGATCGACTGTTGATTGATCCTGTCAAGTCAACTTGAACATGCGAGCAGGGTTTGTTAAGGACTGACCGACTGCAAAGATGGGCTTTTATTGGCATCTTAGATACAAAGGCGCATTTGTGACAGCTTTAGACGAGTTCTTTCATTTGTTTATTGATGGGTGGCCAATAGACATCACTACGGACGGGTGTTTTCATGCGATTGATTCCCAGGTTCCCGGTGTGGAAGTCGCGCTGCTGATGAGACCCAACCAGGTCGAAACAGCCCCTCAGTGCATTTTAGCTTTTCAGTTCACGCCTAATTCGCTCTACACACGACGAAGTCTCCATACAAATGAATAGTTTCCAAACAATGGCAAATAATCCGGCCCACATTGATTTACTGTTTTTTCCCCAGCAGGTTAAGAAAATTGAAAGGGTGAATACACGAATAACGAAAGATGTATTGCCCACAATTGGACCTGAAAAGTGTCTGGGCTTTCGTATCGTTAAGGGAAGATGGTTTTACTGTACTAAACAGCACATCATTATTAACCCGGTGGTAATGTCACCAAATTATCACCCAGAGAATGTGTATTTGAATCCCACCACCACCGTCTGACATTCCCCATTGTGTGTTGAATGGTAACCCTTTGGTTGATCGCTTCCTCCTTCCTGAAAATTGTATATTCAATGAAAGGAAGTAAAATGAAAAGAAAAGAATAGGGGGAGATTTAGCTTATGAATACCCTGGACAAAAAGATCGGACCAAGTGGGAACGAGAAATGACCAACCGGTGTCATAGAGGCCTTCAATGACACTCGCCCAGGCACGACGATCTGAGACTGAGCGGAAGCACAAAAAGATGCGGTTCTGCCTTTACGGTCGAGTGCCGTAGCTATACTGTGGCCTAAATCGATCAAAGTTCAATTTTACAATGGTGATCCACGTTCTCACTTGCCCTCTAAGTTGACCGCGTCATCGTTTTGAAACTTGTGCCTGGAATTCCTAGGTTATTCCCAAAACATTGCATTCATCGATGGTGTAGATATACAGATGGACTTAGCAATGAAACGGCGCTGTATTACTGTGATTTGAAATAAAGTTGCTTTGCAAGCCAATTCTAAGAGCTGTTAAAGGTATCTGGATTCATGACGATTTTAAATAATTCGCTCGTTTGTTTTTACCTTACGGATATTTTTATTTTATTTGAATTCCTTTAATTGAATACAATTAGGCAATTGATTTACAGAGAGTTGGCGCGCCGCAGTTTACCATTTGAGATTTTGGGAAGGGGTGAGAGGGCGACAGTGGTGCAATTGTAACTCAGCCTTTGAGTAACCCGAAAAGATCATGATACTCAATTGACCGTTAAAGTTGAAAATAATAATCTCACGAAATTTATTCATTTTCACTTTTCCTTCTAACATTTCTTAACTTATGGCAAACTATTTCCATAGCTATTGGGGGATAACTTCGCCGGTTCCTGTACTTGGAAACCATCAGTAGCATAACAAACTATGAGTTTTCCGCTTCCAAATCCTATTGAATCTTCTAATGCAAGTACTGACTTCCTAAGAAAAGGAGATCGCAACTGCTCGCCGTCCTTAGTTATCTACATCCTATATGTAACCTACCGCACTAATAGACTTCGATCACTCGATCTGATCGAAGCGGTAGCAATGTGAATACCTTGACTGATAGTAAATCTTTAATGGTTTGGAACATGAAGGATTTCGATGCAAGCCCAGGACCTGTAGCGGTTGGTTCAGTATTAAATTCAACTTCTTCAATTGAGAAAAGTTCGTCTCCAATCGCAGGATTATGTTTATCGAGTTGAGACGGTTCGATGCCATTTTAAGAAATATCGCGGACGATCCTAAGAACAAGTACCGCTCAGTTAAGAGGAAGCATTAGCTCGTTTTTATTGGATGCATCAATAAGAACACCAAGAATAACCGCTCGAGACCCACGCGTGAATGAGGAAGATCTTGGAGCCTGCACTTCGGTGCTCTTTAACATGATTAATGTTGGCCCTGATTATTTTAAACATCCCGCTTTGGATCAACATGTCTTATCTCCAGTGCACGAAAGGTAGGCTCCGAGTCTACGTTCTCAGATGATCATATTTAAAACGTTCTCTTGACAATCTTTCTAACTCTAATAACTTCGGCATGCGTCACTCACCAATATCGTGCGTAACGTCCATCAGCCACCGTATTCTATGGAGCCAAAGTATACGATTACATAGTACCTCTCTAATAACATCGGTTGTTCATCACGACGTGACTGCACCTTGATGTGGTGTGATGGCTTGCGCGCCTACAAACTACACAGAATATCTTTTCACAACTGTAGATCCAATCATGTCTGAAAGGTCAATGGGTAAGATTCAATCAAAGTTCAGTCTCAAAACTAGCTGCTTGGACACCTCCTGGCTTCCTTTGTCTATCCACACTCGCCCTTGGAGAGGTCACTCCAGCAAATAAACGCGGGGAGGATCGGTCTACCGATAAAAAGCCCGCTAGATGGACGTAGCAGCTGGGTGCCTGGGGCGTCCTCTTGACGCTGGGATAAATCTTCGCACTTCATTGCCCACCCAAGCTGGGAATCCCCCAGTCAGTAAAATGCTGTCTCGTCCATGTTCTACCTGTCTTATTTGGTGCATGAGACTAAGGGCCAATCCCGAACGGTGGACCGACAATCAACGCATCAGTGAACAATACACTGAACCGAAACCCGAAGGCCTTGCGTAACAGGTCTCTAGAAGTTACCACACGGATGATTCGTTCACGCTCCCGCGTTGGATCTACGCCCCACCGCCTTGTGGGTCAGACTTTTGAGTCGAAGACTCCGGTTATGGTTCCCAAAGAAAAACCCCTTCATTGTGGGCTAACGCGAAGCATTTCGTGGCCTAAATTTCTTTCCCATCTTTCTAGTTCGTCCTCAATCCCAAGTGCCTCATGTTAACCCCACCCAACGGACATCACTCAGCGTTTTAACAGTAAGGCCAAACAATGAGAAGGTATAGGACTTTTGAAGCCCAATTCCTTTTTCTTTTAGGCACATTCAACGTCCGCAAACTCCACCAGATCGGTCAACGGGCTGCCTTAGCTATAAACCTTGAAACACTCAATTTAGACATATATTGTTTCTCTGAAACACGCATACAAAACCCTACGTCAGAAATCACTACGATCTCCAAATCTGACCTCATCCTCACGCTTCACCCTCCGTGTCTCAGGCGATCCGATATCTGACGTTCGCGGTGTTGTTAGTGTCCGGTGTCAAGACCGAGCGTTCACCTCCTGACTGGATTCCGGTCAATAGCCGGTTGTGCCTTGTGTTTCAACGCGTCAAGAGCTACAGAACGAAGTGTCGATACTTATTCGTTGTCTCATTGTGTGCACCTACTGATAGCAGTACAGTTGAAGTAAAGGATGAATTCTACAATGACCTCTCTCAACTGCTCCAAAATACTCGGTCAACAGACATTGTGGTAGCCGCTGGAGACCTCAATGCTCGAGTGGGATCCCTGGACGAATCAGAGGTTTCTTGGCGGACCACACACAATCCCAGTCAACCGGATAGACAACGGAGATCGCTGATCACGGATTGTTCCTACCAAGCACCAACTTATCGCACAGAAACGGCACTTCCTTACATGGAGACCGTTAATCGCTTCACAGCGCTGGACTCAAATCGACCATATCGCCATCAGCGACTGCTGGCTTGGATCCATTGAGGACTGCCGTTCCTACTGATCAGCACCCGTGGACTAGGACCATGCTCTGCTACGAGCAAGATCCTCTCTACGCCTGATAAACAACCGCACAAAAGCCACCGGAAACGGGTACCCACAATACAGTAGCAGCGACAGTTGCAAATCGGCCTTCGAAGCGGAACTATCGGATCGCCTTCCAGCTCAACCATCAGCCGGAGGACT